GGGCTAGCGATTTTGCGAGCCCTGGCAAAAATTCAGATGCATGCTGTTACACTGTAGGACCAACAGTGTTTTCACATTGGGCAGGATGCACTGAGCTCTGAAACCCAGTCTCTTTAATGACTGTTTAACGATGATCTGTTGTGACCTGAAAAATGTCAGTTTTCCGAGACAACAGGAGGGAAAGCCACACAACTCGTTGTAGGTCGATAAAAAGTGTCAAAATGTTTGATTTGTTAAGTTTCCTCGGAGCAATCTAGGAGAAAAGCTCTTGATGTATTAAAGCACAGAGGTACAGAAAACCACGGCGAGAGGTTTTTGAAGGCCCGAGCTCTAATCATTTTGGAGCAACACATGCTGCCAGACTGCAGAAACCTTTTTCAGGAAGACTCTGCTTATTTAAGCACAACCATGCCAAACTGCATCCTTTGTGTCACACCCGCTATTCAATACCCATCAGCTGTTGGACCCTTTAATCCTACAGCTTCATCAGTAAAATATTCACATACCCAGTGTGTCTTTTGTCCTGCCTCCCCTCATCCTTCAGCCTGCTTCACTTGGAAGCTTCTTCCTGTTGAAAGGAAGTTCTTCCTTCCCACTGTTGCCAAGTGCTCATAGAGGGCCGTGTGATTTGTTACTCTAGGTTCTTAACCTCACAACATAAAGTGCCGAGAGGCGATTGTTCTTTTGATTCACTGCAATCAATTCAACTGAATTTATATAAAAGGTTTAGCCAATGACTGACTGCCTTTGGAAACAGGCCTGTCAATTTATACAACGTTCATATTTTGAAATTCCCTCAGTACTTGTTGATATTTTATATGACTCAGACCATTTGAGTTGGGGGATGCTTTGCTCCCTGACAAACGATTTCTATGATCATCACATCTCTAGCTTTGTTATATTGCTTAAAAGTTTAAGCCTAAAAGTTTAAGTTGTTTTCTTTTAATTAACATTCGTCTGAAACTCAGCTGACAGCGTTTCAATATATTCTCACCTTGGCCTGAAACTTTCTTCTTTCTATTTTCGTTCTCCCGCAGAACTGAGCCAAAGTCAATAAAATGGATCTGAGCTTCTCTCTCCAGGGGAACATGTCACACTTTATTTGCTGAGTGTGAATCGGTGCCTTTAGCATCAAATCAAGCAAAACTACAGCATGTCGGCACATCTATGGTGTTAATTTGAAATTCTAAGTCACAACCTTGAGGCCGAGGTTACTGAGACTTCAGACTCCTACATCACTTTGTTCTCGAGTTAACCTGACCTCGAGGCCGAGGTCGCGGAGATTTTTAGTAGACACACCAATCACGTATCGGTTTGAAACGCCTGTGCTGCTTAGTTCTCGAGTTATCGCATTCACAGGTTTGGGCTTCCACATCGTGGAGACAACAATACCTCATCAGCCTTTTACAGCAGAGGGGTAAAAAACTACTGCTGGTCGATAAGCCACCTGTACGTTATACTTCCTGTCACACCTGTACATACTTCCTTAGGAGCAGATCCACCCACAATAAAATAAAGCAGAGTAATTAAACTGCAGGTTGACGGCTTCAACAAGAACAACAGCAGACTGCATGTTCGACTGCAACCTTCATCCACTGAGAGACTAAATACAAGTGTGGTGTGAAGCACAGAGACTAATATAAATATTTAATTACCCAGTCGAGTTCATGTGAATCACATTTATCACCTATGATCGTATAATTAGCTGCTGAGGTTCCAGGTGAAGCTGCAGGGAAAACACAAACCCTCTAACGTGGCTGCAGCGTGGAGACCGAGGCTGACATGTTGATAACGAAACACGTTTTTACCCGCAGCCACTGTTTTTCAGTCAGCGTGTCGCTGTAGTCCACGTCCCGACGGCAGCGAGACCCTCGACCAAACATCTTCTCCTCCTCCTCTTCGTAGGTGAGCCGCTCCACTTCGGCGTCATCTTTGATGATCCAAGAAGGCAGCTCGTCCTCCTCCATTAGGCGAGGCTTACGCTTTGGGTTCCTAGCATCCTCCCTGCGCCGGTCCATGTCCATGCGCTTACACGGCAAGAACAGGAAACACACATCAGGTTAGAGTGAAACACACAACTCTGAATGCTTTAGGCGCACTGCACCAGTGCTTTTAGACTAAGCTGGACAATTAAAAGAAAACATCTTCTAGTCTTCTACCTGACCCACTGAGCATGTGCGTTTATAGACGACCAGGTAGGGAAAAATACGGCAGCAGCGAGTTTCAGACGAGCGACAGAATACGAGTTGAGTTTCTACTTAAACATATCGTGTATCGCGATACAGATAACAAATATCGTGATATTAGATCGTCTTCACGTCGCCCAGCCCTCGACTGAATGAGAGGCTAATGTGGAAGAAACAGTCTTAGTCCTTATTCATAGCTTCACTGCAGCATTTTGGATCAGCTGGAGGCTTTTAGGGAGCTTTTAGAGCTGCCAGGAAGTAATGTTGTGTCATGAGAGTGTGCAGAAGTCAGGAGAAGAAGGTATTTTTACATTTCACTTAGATTACAGTCAAAACAGAGCAGCTTTCTTTTGCAGATTGCAGAAGTCTTTGTCCTGGTGCCCGCTGTAATAACAAGTTTTACAAACAGATGGCTGCTCAGCGGCTCGACTCGCTTCTAGAAGAGTTAAGAGATGAAAATCGCAGGAGGCCGAGCTTATGTGGTGAGAATTTAAAAAAAGAAACATCAGAAATGTGATCTTAGTGATACGCTGAGCCAACACAGAGGACCATGATGAGTAGCAAAGAGTGAAACTGCTATGGGGTGTCCTCTGAATCACTCCAGAGTCACACTCCCGCATCAACTGGTCTTAAATTAATTTATCGTGCAAAAGGCAGCATCTGGCAGGGGACGGGCCTCAGTACAGGTGACATTGAACCACACAAACAGCCTTGACATGAACCTATAATCCATTTGTCTTACAGATGTGAAAGAACCAGCTGTCTGCTTCTCTATTTTGGGGGAATTAATCTTGTAACACCTGTCATTTCATCAATTTTACATTGAAATGGTAATTTTACTTTCAATCTCGCAATGATGTGTCATTATCTTACCATGAAGAGCTCAAATTCATCCTCATTGCGGGCTATCATCTGGTTCAGAGTTTCATCATCAGGCACCTCATCTTCCTCCTAAAATAGCAAAGGAGGCAGGCAACACAATCATCTCATGTTCAGCTCAAATCAGTGAAG